TGGCGGTCTCCACCGATTGGTCGGCACCAGGGCCGGGAGTGTCAGTGCAGCTGATCCTGATGTTGGACGTGGCTTCGCTTGTCTGTTTTTTCTGCTTTTCCGGGCCCTGGAGCTGAAATGCCACGGAGGCCCGGAGGTTAGCCCTAGAGGTGGATGCTGAAAGGAGGGGTTGTGCAAGGGACGCATGGGAGTAGCATGAGGTCACTCCTGGGCCCTTGTTCCTCCTCCAAGAGGTCTGTCTACCCATGACTAGCGACATGCCAGGGGGGGAAAGGTCAGGGGGGAGAGGTCAGGGGGAAAAGGACATGGGGGGAGAGGTCAGGGGAGGAGAGGTCAGGGGGGAGAGGTCAGGGGTGGAGAGGTCAGGGGGGAAAGGTCAGGGGATCTCAGCCGCATGACCAGCGAGATGCTAGGGGAGAAAGATCACCTTGTGGGGAGGTCCTTGCTTTCCCAGGTTTGCCCCTTGCTGGGCGCCCGGGGCTTTCCGCCTGGTGACCTTCTGCACCGGGCCCATCGTCCTGGCGCTGCTCAGGTCCGTCTAACTGCCCACACGGACCCACAGGATTCGAAGGCCCTGGATCCGTGCCTGTTGGAAGGCGAGAATCTCAGGAAGGGGGAAGGGGCAGAGTCCAGAAAAAAACGTTTTCTCGGTCAGACCCCTTGTAGATTCCCTCTTCCTGGAGGTCAGAGGTCAGAGGCAGTCCCTGCATTATTTCCGGTTGGTGTCTGCTCTTGCCCCTTCACACCCTAACTCCTTTTCTTGGACATGGTAATGCTCCAGGGGAAATCTCAGCCTGTGGTGTAAGGGCCTTGGATGCCTGAACTGGGCATTTTGGGTCAAGGTGATGGGGGCGGGGGTGGGGGGGTGAGAATAACGCTTCCTCTACCCTCCTAAGTGCTCTGCTGGGAACTCTAACGAAAGATACATTAACAGGAGAAAAACAAACACGTTTGTTAACATGAACACTTTCTGTAGCCATAGGAGACGCCCAGGGGAAGTGAGGAGCTCAAAGGGGTGGCTTAGAATTCAGGCTTAAATCCCATCTTCCGCTGCAGACATGGAAAGGAAGGTGTGGGGAGGTGGGTGCAGGGGTGGCCAGGGAAAGCGTGAGGAGCGAGAGCAGGTTTTGTTGTGCAGATGCAGGCGGGCGCCTTTTCCCTGGAGAGCAGGAGTTTTAGAGCCATCTTTCTCTCCCCGGTACAGAGTGGGAGACGCCGCACACCGGACATTCTCTTTATAAATGTGTGTTCCCCTCACACAGGGTAGCGGGATGTTTGCAGGGCTCCTCCAGCGTAGGCTGGTTTCAAAGTAATCAGCTCCAAATCCTCTTTGCGCGACAGAGGCATACGTTGGGGAGGCGTGTTGTGCTACTGCTCAGTGCCAACTTAGGAAACACCACGCCCAGGAACCTTCCTTGATGTTTCACCAGGGCTGCACCTGGCCCCGAGGCAGCACCAGACAGTGACAAGCACACCTGGAGGTTCTTTGCCTGCAATTTCCATACGTGATATTATTGCTCATTCAAAGGTCAGGTTCGAGCCCTGAGCAAGTCGGTTAGAGCATCGCCCTGATACACCAAGGCCCCGGGCAGGTTCAGTCCCTGGTCAGGGCACATGCAAGAGTCAGCCAGTGGGGGAGGGGGATGGGTGGAGGTGGAAGAGGGCATAGAGGGGATAAATGGTGATGGAGAAAGAAGAATCAACCGATGCATGCGTACATAAGTGAAACAACACATCAATGTTTCTCCTTTCCTCTCTCTTTTAAACCAATCAATTAGCCCGACTGGTGTGGCTCAGTGGTTGAGCGTCAGCTTAGGAACAAAGAGGTCATGATTCGATTCCAGGTCAGGGCACATGCCTGGGTTTTGAGCTTGACTCCCTGTAGGGGGCATGCAGGAGGCAGCTGATGGTTGATGTTTCTATCTCTCTATGCCTCTCCCTTCCTCTCTCTCTCTCTCAAATCAATAAAAACATATTTTAAAAAACAAGATCAATCACTTAAAAATATATTTAAAAGAACAAAGAGGTCATGATTCGATTCCAGGTCAGGGCACATGCCTGGGTTTTGAGCTTGACTCCCTGTAGGGGGCATGCAGGAGGCAGCTGATGGTTGATGTTTCTATCTCTCTATGCCTCTCCCTTCCTCTCTCTCTCTCTCAAATCAATAAAAACATATTTTAAAAAATAAGATCAATCAATTAAAAATATATTTAAAACACACACACACACCAAAGGAAAAGTTCAAATGCCACCGCCGTTTCTTATTTCTGCGCCTTTTTCCGTGGCCTCGTTCCCTGCCCCCCTTCACTGCCTCCTGCTACCCAATGTGGAGCCTGTGCCCAGACTCAGAGAAAGACACTCGAGGGGCCTGTGGCTCCGGGCCTCTGCTGGCCAAGGTCATGTTAATCTGCTTGAACGAAAGCCGCCGTGCAGTGAGACTGACTCCCGACACCCCTTTTGCCCTAATACCGGATTGCGTTTCAGAGCAGTTGTCCTGCTCTCCTCCTGGCCATTTCCTACCAGGGCTGGGACGGCTCGGTCCCTGTCCTTGGACCCGCTCTGACAGTGAAATGTGATCCATAGAAGTCCTCTCAGGGGTGCCCGGCCGGCTGCTGCCTACTCTTCGTGCCTGTCCACATCCCTCCTGCAGGGGCTGGGGCGCTCTCCTCCGGGCAAGGGCCACAGTCTGACCCAACTGGCCGTGCCCCTCCCCTCCCCCCAACACAGTGTGCACAGCCAGCTGCTGCCAGCGCTTGCAGTGAAGCATCCTGGAATGGGATGTGGGCTGGGAAGCTATACCAGGACCCCCAGACAGGGCGACAGGAGACCTGGCTTCAGCACTCGGCCTGGCTGCTGAGGAGCTGGCTGTGTGGCCATGGGGCTCTCGCCTCACTTCTCTCGAGCTGTTTTCTCTCCCATATAATAATGAGTGTTTACTATGGGCCAGGGACTGTATATGTTGTGTATTAACTCCTTTGCTCCTCCCAATAGTCTATAAGGCAGATACAGGGGTCCTTAAATAAGTAAGGATAGACGAGGGAACTCAGGCTGAAGTAACTTGTTCAAGGTCATTAGCTAGTAAGGGATAGTTGACCCCAGAACTTGCACTTTTAACTAGGACACATGCTGCCTCTGTCGGGATAGGAAAAAGTGTATTGGCTAGCTAATGCTGCGTAACAAATTACCATGCCATTTAGTGGTACAAAGCAACCAAAATGATGACGTATAGTTTCTATGGGTCAGGAGTCAGGGAGTGGCTGAACTTGGGGTACTGGCTTGGAGTCCCTCATGAGGCTGCAGCCATGATGTCGGCCGGGGCTATGGTCATCTGAAGGCCGGGCTAGGGCTGGAGGGTCTGCTTCCCAGACAGTGCCCTCAGACGGAGCTGGTTGGTGGCTGGAGGCCTCGGTTCCTCAGCACGTGGACTCTCCACAGGCCGTTGGAGCGGGCTCAGGGCGTGGTTGTGGGTTTTCCCCTGGGAACGTGTTCTGAGAGAGGACCAGGCAGAACTGAAACGCAGTGACTAAGCCATGGAACGTGCAGGCTGTTGTTTCCACACTATCTTCTTGGTGACAGGTGAGCCGTATTCATGAAGGGAACTCCAGGAGGTGGGATCGTAGAGGCCATCTTGGAGGCTGGCCAACACAGGTGGTAACTGAGAGCCACTAACAGGTTGTTGGGAGGGTCACGTCGAAGGAGAGATGGAAGCATGCTGCAGGCATTTGCTAGAGCTCCTGCACCACAAGACGGGGGGCTTACAGCCACAGAAACGGATTCTCTCACCGTTCTGGAGGCTGGGAGTGGGCGGCAACAAACCACCACAAACTCCGTGGCTTACGTGGCCAGACATTTATTCTCTCGCAGTTCAGGAGGCCACAAGTCCAAAGTCAAGGTGTCAGCAGGGTCACGCTCCCTCTGAAAGTTCCAGGGGAGAATCCTTCCTTGCTTTTTATAG